GTTCAATACAAAACCAACTGGACTTTATTTGTAACGGAAGACGTTTCGCTCCTCATCCAAGGAGCTTTCTCAATTCAATGAGCAGTAAGTGAGAGATACAGGTTATAAGGCTGAGTGAGATAAGACACACGCATATATGTAGATTTGACAAGTCACACCTCAAACACCTTAACAGTAGGGGTTTCTTTAGGTCTTTGTTACTCTAATTCACAGATGAGACCCCTCTGTTCCCATTTCAAGTGTGAAAACCGTCTGTGAATCTGTCTTAAAGTTGCATTATAGGTTTTTGAAAGTGGAAATCTGAGGCCTCCTCCTCTGTTAAGAGACGGCCTGGATGACTGAGAATCTTCACCAGCATATATGGGGGGGAGATATATTTAAAACCTTTTAACATATGGATGCTAACAATACAATGTTTGCAGGTGAAATCCACATCAAGAGAATGTATGCATTAAAATTGAACATGGATTGTTTTGTCTTTTCTTACAGGAGTTCTTCCCCTCAGACTTTAGACATAACTCTGGATACAGTCGGACCCCGACCCCACCAGGACGCTACTCGCCCCATAGCCCCATTGATCAGGATGTGCCCTTGTCCCCAAAGCGCAGGTAAACACATCTTTTACTTCAAATAGTTGCTAAAATCTCAATTCATAATCCTTTACAGTAGTCCCTTGTTTATTGCGTGGGAGCTGTACCCTGAAGCGCCGCGACAAGTGAAAAACCGTGAAGTAGGGATATACAGTAGTTCAAGTTTAAGTACAGTAAACTTTATTTTAAGGCTTTAGAAACCCTTCCCACACTCTTTCAATGTTCTAAAATCGTAAACCATATGTCATTTTAACAATATATGTTACTAAATTTTACTTACTAGCTCTGAAAAACAGCAATAGCTCTGGTTCAGGTCCAACTCTGTTTGATTCTGACTCTGCTCGTTTCTGCAGACCCATCCTGCAGCAATGAAGCCCACAATTAGTCCTCTAAACTCTTAAACCTACTCATTTTAACAACATACAGTACTTATCTGTACATGAGCTACAAAATTTTTCTTACAAGGGCTCTGTAGAACAGCAACAGCTCGGTTCCGTCCGAACCCAATAGATGAAAAAAGTCCCGGTACAGTATGACTGGAGCCCACCGCTGCTGCTCCAGGAGCAAGGCTGCCCAGGATTTAATCCACCACCTCTGGCCCGGTCTGGACCAGCACCGCATGACCAGAACATGCTGAAGCCTACAGCCGTCTGTTCCCTGCATCTCCCAGGATCTGGGTCACACTGAGTCCAGATCAACTGCAGCCCAGCTACTCAGCAGTGAAGATACAACTTGAAGGATGAGTTCAGCTTCAGAATTAATTGAGACCTTCCTGTCAGTTCTGTGAGCTTATTCTTACAGAACTTCTGACTTTGGTTGCAAAACTTTCCCCACGTTTGCAGAAAGCAGTGGTTAGAAGCAGTGTTGACTTCTGGGAAGTGAACTGATGGCTTCTGGGTAATGTAGTTCTTTATACTGGCAGAACAGTGAAGGCTTAATGAAAGAAAACTACAAAATAGCAGTACTTTTGTTTTTTTTAAATATTATGTACAGTACTTAAACAAACAGCGATATAGCGAGTCCGCAAAAAACGAACCGCGATGTAGTGAGGGACTACTGTAATGGCTCTGGTGCTTCATGATTGATGAATTTATGAAACAGTTTAAGAAAACAGACACTAATAAAGCTATCAAAACTCATTAGGTAATATTTCTTAATAATGTTACAGTGATGGTAGCGGATTGGCTTTTTATCCATCATTTTTACAGCCCGATTGTATAAAGAGCCAATGCGTTTGGTTGCAGTTGGAGAGATCTGTGCCCATGCAATGATATGACTAAAATCATAGAATACATATATAGTAGGGCTGCCTGACTTGGTATATAGTTTCTAATTAGTTGGAATCAATTAATATTACTTTGTATTGTTTTTGAAATTGTCTTCAAATGTTTATGAAATTTAAATTGAGGATCTAGCACCAAACCACGGTATTTAAATTTTATTTTACTCCAATTTTTTTGCTAAAATCTCAATTCCTAATCCTTTATTCTTATATGTCTTATACAAATATAAAATCTGTTCCGGACCTAAAAGAACCTGAGTTTTCCTGTAGACATTATTCTCCTCTTATAGGAAGGACATCACCGTTATTGTAGTTCATACAGATGTTGCACACAGCCAGCTGTATAACACCTCTGTAACTCCTAAAGTGCACAGGCCAGATTAATGTGTCACTTTGTGTTATAAAGGAGATGATGTTTGGCACATTTTATAGATATTATGGTTTGCATGCGCACAAAGAAACGGCACACGCATAGCAACGCTGAACCCCCCGAGGCTGACTGAATGAATGCAGCAGGAAGTTAATCTGATTCGATTCGTTCCTACATGCAGCTCATCAAGAAAATGTCTGGAAGAATTTTAGCATTACACAAGAGATAATGTTATTATAATGGAGTCCACAGGTGTAGGACTGATTTAAAGAAAGTGTTGTGCAACGATGGGCTGATAATCACCGTAATCATCATCATCGTAATACGTTTCTGTTATTTGAAAGTGTCACGATAAAAGTGGTTCACATTAGCCAAAGGTTGCATTTATTGTTGAATTTATATTAAAGTTTCTTTCAAAATGTTTGTGTGAAATAGGTTTAAAGTGCAACTGCAATGTGAAATCTCATGTTGCTCATGTATTTGCAGTTAATGACATCAGATTATTGAGGAAACACTGCGTTGTCTCTGTCCAGCTCTGCAGTTTATAACCTCACCGTCTGAGATTGTGTTGCTGTAATCTGACTCTGCTTCCTGTGTGCAGACGCTGACCTTTGAACTTTGTTTAGAAAGTCTTTGGCCTCAGTAAAAATAATGTCTTTTTGCTCCTTTTGTAATCTTTTGTCCACAGGTCCTGTTGGAATAGTTGGGTTCTGTGTTTTCTCAGTGCGGGATGATTAACTTTGGCTCTGGTTTCTCCCCCGGGGTAACTACAGCAAGCGATAGGATGTGTCAGCAGCTGTAGCCCTTTCTCAAAATTATTCTCCCCAAAAGAAGACAAATGCTTCTCTCTTGATCGGCCCCCAGTTTGTGCCCCCAGCCCGCAGAATAAGCCCTGTTCCTCCTCAGCCAATCAGACGTTCATTGACACCCACTGACCCGCCTCTTCATGCTGCGTGGCCAATGAGTTTCAGCCCCGGGGCACACCTTTCCCTCTGAATTGGGTTTTTCTGTCTTTCTGGTTTAGTTAGGGGAGTGTGCAGCTAATATTTCCTCTTAGAAAGTCAGAGCTGGTTGACAGAGAAGTTGAAGATTTAGCTCTATTATTATTTTTGCTCTGTGACCATTTCCATTGGAAGGTGAGTGTTGTCATTTTTTTAAATTCCAGTTGAATTCTTTGTTTTAATTATTTTCCTGGAGGAATCAGGTTCAGAGATGTGGTTTAAATGTAGCTGTATGATCTCACATGGGTTTTTCGCACACATGTTGAGTGTTTAGATGGTTATCATTGAGCTCTTGGGCAAAGTGTGATTATGGAAACCAGCATTTCTGTCAGTCGTCGTGTGCTTTTGGATGTAAAAATGTTAAACATGTCATTAAGGCTTCAGAAACTGTTCTTTAGTTCTCAGGCATTGTTAAATGTTTGCATTTGTACCGCATCAGTGTCTCTAACCTTATGTTCAGATGTGTAGATGTCTCTTTCTACTCTCGTTTGGTTAAAGGGAGTAAAACAACAAGACATTTAAACTGTCTTTAGGTTTCATGTTGAGATGAAAGGTGGAGAAAATGAGTGAGTGTGGAGCTGTGCATGAGAAAAACTTGGAAGTTATGCTTCAGAGGTCTGTTTTCAATTTGAACCATGCTCCCTGATGCAGAGGAAAGGCTCCAAGCATTTCATTTCACTCGCATATTTGTAGAGAAACAAACTTGTGTTGCGATGATACAGTCTGCTCATCGCATCAAATACACACACACATGCATGGAGCTTCTCAGATCATATTAGATGCACTTGAGTCTGGAAAACAAGCTCTTAAAGGCTAAACTTCTTCATTTTTTACATCCAAAGCATTTGGTACTTGAATAGAAGACAACTGGACGTGATTGTCTTGTTTCTCATCTTCTTCTTCTCATCCTCAGTTATGAATTGTGAGTTTATGTCATAGTAAGGACCATGTTGGTGTCACATGAATCTCCCACCCACCATCTTGTGAGTCATTTGGGTCTTCATTGCTTGTGAGTTGCTCACCAGCAAGACCAAAAGTTGGAATTGTTTCGGTCACATGTTTTTAAGGCGTGAATGGTTGTGAAACTGCCTTGGGACTAAACTGCCTTCTTAGCATCCCAGCTATGACATGAGCCTGAAACTCCCAGTCCATAGTCGGGACCGAAGAAGGCTTTCAGATGAGAGGTGAAAGGTCATCAAGAACAAGAAGTCTAGTCCTCTGTTCAACTCTTAGGACTCTGCACCAACACAACGATCTGAGAACTACGCAATCGAGGAATTTTTATTTATTTATAAATTCTGCATTCTGAAACGAATACTATCGTAAAATCTACAGCCATAAAAACATCCAGATAAGTGGATATATTCGTATTTTGCTCCTTGATTTAGCGTAAAGACTTGTTGTGTAGAAAAAGAGTTGGCACTCATCTTGATTTTCACTGTTTTGTATCGGATCCAGCCTGTAGATAAGCAGAGAAATCACATTTGTTGTTAATCATCCACCATCTTAACATTTTACGAGCTATAATTGTCTTAGTTCAGCCGTTGAATTTAACACAACCCCTCGCAGCGTGCACAGGGTGCTGACAAAATAAACCCACCTGTCTGGTGAGGTCACTCACTTTTGTTGCAAGTTCTTTGCACAACAGCTGTGCGTTGAAAACAACTGTCTTGCATTTGTTACTGCGGGTGACAACAGGTGGAACTGTTGATGGGGTTTATTTGACTGATTCTGACAGACAAGCTGACAACAGGTGGAAGGCATCAAACCACACCTGACCTGACTCATCCAACCGGTTCCTATTGACAGAAACGAACCCTCTCAGCTCCCAATAAGTTGTTTGTTGGGCGGGTGAGGGGTATTGCTTAAATTTGTACAAAGAACAAAGCTTAGATGTTTTTTTTCCGCTATGTCTCGTGTAAAACATTAAATAAATAGTCTCTTTCTTCACTACTTTATACCTTCATCTTATTTTTACGCTCTTGTACTTTTCATTATGAGAGCTGCTGTGACTATTGGTGTGTTTTCTGAACTCTCCTGCAGTCTTCTCTGAATGTAATCACCTGTGATCTGTTGTTATGGCTCTCTCTACAGCATGGCCAGCTCTGACTTCGCCACGCAGAAGTACGACAGGGACTCAGAGGTGTACAAGTTGATCCAGGAGAACAAGGAGTCCCGCGCAGCTCCTCGACAGTCCAACACCTTCAAAGTACTACAGGAGGCGCTGGAGGCTGATGAGAAAGGTTAGAGATGCTTTCTCCAGAACTCTTTTTTTCAAAAGCAGTATTAATTAAAGCAACCTATAGTGCCACAAATGAATAGAAACTGATAGTTGCTGAAAATTATTAGATAGCATTGTTTAAGTTTACTGGCTGCATCTCCGTCCTGCATCATCGGTGTCAGATTTGCATAAAGCAAAACAAAGAAGTTCACGTTCCTGATTTCATTTGGTTATTTTACATGTTGTGTGTGTCGCTCAACAAATTCAGTCAACGCTCGCATTCTTCCATGATGTGTTAACAACTCGTGTGGAGTCCACTTCACGAGAGCTGCCTCCTGGGTGATGAGCGAGTGGCGACGAGAGACGAGTTCTCCTCACAGAGGGCAGCGTGGATGGTTTTAAACGTAATGAAAGGTGTCGGAGCGTCTGTGTGAGCAGCTCTGTTTGTGTGTTTCAGAGGCGGCCTTGCTGTTTCCTGGGAACCTTTCACCCAACCCGCCTAAAACAAGCACATCTGTTAGAGGAGTCAGCCAGCAGCACATCTGTGAGAGGTGTGGCACCAGCATCGTGTAAGTCTCAAAAGAGCTGAAATTTTAATGATAATGTGGACTGCCTAAAATGTTTTACACACAGCTGAGACGTATTAAATCTGCTTGCACATGGGAGTATTTCTGCATTTTAATTGCCATATTTTCCACCGTACACGTCGCACCGCCGTATAAGTCGCATCAGTCCAAAAATGTCTTATAAAGTGGAAAAAAGCATAAATATGTTGCTTCGCCGTATAAGTCACATCTATTATGTGTCACCGCTGACAACCCGGAAACGTGGGCTGATGTGCCAAAAATCGATTGGCTGCCAAATGGTGGCTGCGGGAGCATGCACAGGAGGGCTTTAACAAGAATTTAACAAGATTAACACTTAAAAACAATTATCTGTTTGCTCAAAATTATAGTAAAGGTGTGTCTCCATCTAACTTTTTCTTAATAAATGCACTATATTGGTCAAATTTGCTGCATTTCAAAAGCCGATCCGCAGCTGCTGGAGTGCGCAGAGGAATGACTCGCTGTGCATTTCTTCGAAATTTAACAAGATAACCACCTAAAAACAATTATTTGTTTGTTCAACATTATAATAAAGGTGTGTCTCAGTTGAACTTTTCCTTAATAAATGCACTTTAATGGTCAAATCAGCTGCCGTTCACCTGGGCGGTGCGGTGAAATGAAGCTGATTTGACGTTTGCTTCCAGGAGTTCCGGAGCAAGACGAAGGTGGCTCTATATGGCAAGCCAAGTGTCTCATTAATAGCCACTTTTACCTATTAATGAGACACTTGGCTTGCCATTGTACTCGAGCGCCCTCTAGCAGCTGCAAACGGTAATATTTAATATTTTTCATGTCTGAATGAATTAAATCGTCAGACCTCAGCCAAAAGTTGAGTTATATTTATGGGGGTAAAAAACATACTGTGTATTAGTCGCTTCTGTGTATACAGCAAGTCGCTGAACTTGAAAATTTATGCAAAAAGGTGCGACTCATACGGCGAAAAATGCAGTACCGGTATATTATTAGGTGAATGTTTCTAATGTGACATTTTTTCCCAACTGCACAACTACCCCTACAGATAAATTATTAAAAAATAGAGGATGTGAATTTTTAACAAGTATAATGAAATGTTCTTTAGATTTCACTTACTTTAAAATGTAGTTCAAAAGTTCATTAGAGAAAGAAATAACTGAGTAAGAATAAACGGATTAAAGTGAACACTGGCCAGACAGGCCATGAAGTAAGAGTTATGCAACTTAGCATGATCATTCTAACTTCTGTTATTAATATGTACAGTCATCACCATTTTTGTCCTTTTTTCAATTTTAAAACCTTTTAATTTGTTTATGAAGGTTCATTTAGTCATCAGATACTGAGGACATCATATCATCATATGGGGGAGTGGTGGCGCAGAGGTTAGAGAAGGTGGGCCTGTGATCAGATGGCCGCAGGTTCGAGTCCTCGGACTGACTACATCAAAATGTGGATGGGAAAGGTGAAGCATCTCCCCCACCCTGGGCCCTTGAGCAAGGCCCTTAACCCCCTCAACTGTTCCCCAGGGCACCCTAGATAGCAGCTCTCTGCTCCACACCGAGGGCTGTGGTAGCTCAGTGGTTGCGTCAGGAAGGGCACCCGGTGTCAAAACAATTGCCAGGTCTTCGTGCGAGTTATTTCGCTGTGGTGACTCCTGAAGAAGGGAGCAGTCCAGAGGAAAAAAGAAAAAGAAAGGGAAAAAGTGTCATCAGGTGATAGTAGGTTTCTTTAAATTTATAATTTATAAACACTGAACTATAAAATATATATATCAAGATTACATAACGGGAGCGGGCCTGAGCCCCCACTTGTCCTCCTCTTTCAGAGCTGTGGCAAAAACAGTTTCTTGTAGTTTTAAATGTAAACCAAAGTGCTTTACTTCAAAATCAGGGTAAAGGGATTATCAAGTCGCCGGGACACGTGTTCTCTGGTGCGTACATGGACCAGTCGTCCCTTCCATCATGAAACCATGCATCTTCTCCAGTGCGAGCAATACTTCCTGTTTGCACTTCTTACAACTGATGAAGGTGTTTGGAGAAACACTGAAACATTTTGTACCTCTTTATATTTTTTAAGGTCCAGTGTTAATAAATAGTTTATTTTATAGAAAATTCTTCCTCTGACTTGCCGTGTGATGTAAGTTCACCCTGTGAGTCTGACTGTGTCTGTCTGGTGTCCACAGCACACAGGCGGTGCGCATCGCTGACAACCACTACCGCCACCCAGAGTGCTACACCTGCACCGACTGTGGGCTCAACCTCAAGATGAGAGGCCACTTCTGGGTTAAGGATGTAATGTATTGTGAGAAGCACGCCAAAGAGAGGTACCAGGGCACAGAAGGGTCCATTCCAGTGACCGTGTCCCCCCGCCACTGAGTTGACAACTCTGCTCCTGTCATCATTCTGGATGAAGAGCGCTGCCAGGAACACCACCTCATCTGACTCATCTGTAGACTTTGGGATGTTTTGGGGGGCATCTTGAAATATTTCTAACATTTAATCATATCTTGCAAAACAATGATACACTTTGATGCCTTATTGTATTTTCATGAGAACTGGGCCTTTTTTTGTCATGTGGTGCAGCCTCAGTGGCCTCTTTAAGATATTCTTTGCTCTAACAATCTACAGCTGCCATGAACTTTCTACTTAAACCAGATTTGAATAACAGCAACGCTTTAGCGAAGTTCACTACGATCGACTCGCAGGAGGAAGATGACCATTGAATTTTCTGTTGGTGTAATGGGACAGATATTTAAGTAACTGCATGCTGTTTTAAAGAGGTACAGTACACAGACAGTGCTGTAGGGGGGTGTGTGTGCATGCTTTCACATGCAGAGGTGTATAGTGGCTTCTGCATGCCTATTCATCTGTGTACATTTGTGCACATGAACAAGTGAAACCAGGAAGCTGGAGGGCCAACAGAGTTTGTGAATTTTATGCTAGATTCAGACCAAAATACTTGGAATTTCCTTCTGTATTTTTTTGTACACTGTAATTATTAACATTAGGGGTAAGGACAAAATATTTGCAGACTTGTTTTGCAGTTTTGTTGACTTTGAGGGACTTTATATCCATTCAGTATGCAAATGTTTTTGATGTTTTTGTGATGCTGATATATTCTTCACATTTCATGTGGATTATAATAAAATTGCACAACTTGAAGCTTCTTCTCTTTATGGTTATATAAAAAAATTAAAACTATCTCTGCCTGATTCATCATGGTTAGATTTATTTCCACCTTCTTCAAATCTACCTATCCTCTTTGCCCACTTCTTTCCTGGTTTCAGGAGCTGCTGGTGCCCATATCCAGCAGTCACTGTACGAGAGGCAGGGGACACCCTGGACAGGACTCCAGTCCATCACAGGGACAAGAGACAAACAACCATTCACTCTCGCTCACACCTAGGGACAAACTAAAACCAGTCAGCCTAACATGCATGTTTTTGGTCTGTGGGAGAAAACCCACGCAGCACGGAGAGAACATGCAAACTATCAACTGCACCACCGTGCAACCCTTATTCAAATACTTCAGTCCAAATCATAAATATCCTGAGACAATATGGAAATATTAGGTTTTTATATTCACATTTTGTTGCATGTTGGCAAGAATACCTAATTACAAAAACAAACCAGCTGTTGCAGTGACTAATTCACCTGCTCTATTCCTGCTACGTAATCATTACATATTATTTAATGTGTACATGGCTACCTACAAACACAGCTTAAATAGAAAAAAAACAAGTATATTATTTCAGAACGCTGGGTTAGAAGTGGTGTACATGTTAATTTTGTGCAATAAATCAAGTAGAAAACAGGAAGAATGTTTAAAAGTAGCTGTCTGAGTGGTACCAGCTTCTTAAAGGAAGGCTTGACCCATTTCAATTAAAAAAAAAATCAATATAAATATATATAACAACACTTATAACACACGCAATATACATGATACGATATTCACTCGATAAACATGAAGCACTTCACAGGTTTCATTTAAACTGTCAGGCTGGTTTGTCATTAGGATCACTCAGTTGTTTCAAAGTTAAAGCGATTAAATAGATTTGACACAAATGTGTGGGGGTGTTTTTTGGAAGGGGGGCAGGCAGTCAAACCACATTTACTAATGCACATTCATTCAACCTTTATTTATACCGGTTAATCCCATTGAGCCTCGGGGACTCATTTACAAGAGAGACCTGGTTTTAACAGAGTGATGACAACAGTGGATAACGAAGACGATCATAAAGGATGCGCACAAATTGAGAACAAGTTAAATAAAATGGTATTTAAAAAGTAACAAAAACAGCTATAACATAAATTATAAATTATGACGGTTTTTATATTTGTTGCATTTCCTTAAAATATTCAAACAATATCTGTTCTCACTGAAAAACTTTGAATCTGTACTAATATTTTTTATGCTTTTAAAAGTACATCTTCATGTTCAAGAATCTGTTCAGTCATTCTTTACGTTTATCAGAAGGAACAACAAATTCAAATGTAATTTTCTGTATCTGTGAAACGATGAAAATATATGCATAAATAGCATCTTGCTGAAGTGACTAATAGAGAGAAATTCAACATATATAATTTATTTGCATCTCTGGAGAATATTGAAAAAGGTGCTACGTCTTTTATGAGAGAGGAAACATGCGTCTACATCAAAGTTCATGCTCAATAATCCAGGCAAATAATCCAACAACGTTAAATCAGGTTCTCTGGACTGTTTCTGTGTGTTCAAACATTTTGCGTCCGAGGAGTCTAGATGCCAACTGGTTGTTCCACTATGTGAGTGTGCTACTTATGGGACTGAGTTTGTTGTGGCTCCTCGGACTGATGAAGTCCTTTGGATGAAAGACGAAACGTTTCATCACAAAGAACCCATCCAGAGGACCTGACTTCACTTTGTTGGATGAAAACATACAATCTTTTCCTATTTCAGTTAAAAACCAAAGAAGTTCTTTTTTACAACAAAAAACTGAGTTATTTTGAAGTTTACAGTTTTCTTTAACATCTGTTCCATTAATAATTCTCAACAAATACATTCAGTTTTAAAAATGTGACACTAACATGAAGCCGAAGTTGTGTGTTTTTTTTTTTTTAAATATATAAAACCATGCTCTCAGAGCAGCACGTGAAGACTTTCTGCGTTTGCTGCTCGCACCACTAGATGTCTCTGGTTCTTCAGGAAACACTTGGCAGCAGATGAAGCCTCCTGGCTCAAGGTTTTCTTTTGTTTATCTGCTGGCAGCAACACCATCCTAAACTTTCCCTCATTCTGAACTCTCAGCAGTCTCGTCATGACTGATCACGCTGAAACCTTCTTTAAAATAACTCATTTGATTATTTCTGCTTGAGCGTCTGCTTTGGAGGACAACGTCTCCTTATGGTGGAACGTCCCTCGTGTGATCCATCATCTCTCACATCTGTCAAAAGCTCAGCTTGTACCAAAACCAAAGCAAAGCCATCATCTCGATGCTTCTCCCAGTCTCTTCACCTCGCCTCCTCGACGATCTCTCCTTGCTCAGTACCCCACCTGGAATGGAGTCCAGATGTGGAGCGGGGAAAGGAGAGATTGCTTGCTTAGCTATAAGGAGCGACGGGGGCTGCTGAGTGTATAGAGAGAAAATGTTGGAACGACTTTAAAGTTTGTCTGGATGCCATTAAATACAATTTGATGCAATGTGCAGTTTGGGACGTGACACTGAAAATGGAAACTGTGCTCTCCAGATGAGAGAGATTTGGGCCTTGCGAGGTTGGAGGAGGGGGTGTTGTACATGAAGCCTTAGTTAACAGCTTGGATAAACAGCCCTCTGTTTCATTACTGAGCAGGCGCCCATCGGCTCCTTGTGTTTTTATTCAATAATCATGCTGGCTGTCTGCGCCTGCTCCAACGTACAGTATCATGTACAGGAATAACAAACCGGGGGTCTGCTGCGGGGGTCAGAGTACAGTGCACTATTATATTGCAGGGCTGCTCGCACGACTGAGGTGCCTGCAGTTTGACTTTGTCAATGAATACACGTCAAGCCCAATTGTATAAAACCCCTTTTCAAAAGCAGCAGTTCACTGTCTCATTTTTTTTTTTTGAAACCAGATTTGGATCACCACAGTCTCCATCCTGCAGGGCCTCTCGTATATCAAGGCAGTATTTTTAAAACACACATGTGCTGCTATATTTTGGGAACTTTTCATACACATGGAGGGAAAAAAAGTGAGCCAAAGACCTCAAGAAAGGATAAAGACGAGGGGAGGGATGTCATATTTATATATATTTTTTAATAAATTGCATTCTTTTAACAAAAGGTTGGAGGTTTTGATGTATTGTTTCTCCTCTTGGACTTGTGAGCGTGTCTACTTACAACAACCTCAGTCTGATCTTGAATTATTATAGCTTCATTTGTTCAGAAACACCTTTACTTTCCTTAAATGTTGCAACACATCATTGTTTTCCATGCATGCATTAAAATGCAACACAGTTGGACAACAAAACCATTACGTCCCACATCTTAGAGGTTTTTTGTTACCAGCGTGGCAGTTCAGTCCGTGTGGATTTTCAAGATAAAACTCCTCGGAGCTCTCATAAGTCTCTCAGCAGGAACAATATAAAATTCAACTGAATTGCAGGCTATCTATAAAAGTCTTCGCTTCCTGTCCTTCCCGCTGACTGAACGAGCGGGCTTTGATCTGCTCTGCAGCACAATGCACAAGAGGCCTTCAGCTTTCATTCATAACTTCGTTGCTCTACCGCATTGAACTCACCTTCCTGTGTTGATGGAAATGGCCAATTCAAAACAAGGAGACAAACAACCCTGAGCCATCATGTAAACAGTTAATCCTCATTTAGCTTGTTCCCATTTCATTCAGGATCACTTGTTTTTTGACATAATGCTTCCCCTCCATGACCTCATAACTGCTGCCTTATTGTTGTGATGTCATAAATTACAACAAATTACAGCTTATTGTTATTTTTCTCACTGTCCAAGCATGGGACATAGAAGAGAGCGCATGTTTTAGTTTTTTTTTTTTTTTTTTTTGATTGTCATATTAGTCACACAAAATTGTGAGGCGTCAATCCAGGTGGGTCACGGTGAAATGGAGGCGCTAGGACCGCGCGGAACCAGCGCGCAGACGGAGCGGGCGCACTTGGGTAAGAAGTCTGACTGAGAGAGTTCTGCGTGTGACAAGAGGCAGGCAGCAGGCAAAACTCCGTTACATTGAGCTTTTTTCTTGTTTTGGAGAGGAGAAGGTCAACACCAAGCTACTTCTTGTCTGATTTAGTGCTTTTGAAAATTTGTTTAAACTGAATTTAAGCTGTGCGTGAGAGCGCGCGGAGCTCCGGGAGCGGAAAAAAAAAAGAAGAAAACTTTTAAAAGCAGCAAAAAACTGAGGAAAGTTGCAGAATAATTATATTTGCATTACTTTCCTATAAATGTTCAAGAGATTGTGGATGTATTTGCGCCTGGTCAGTCGTGCCTCACCACCACAGGATGACTTTTAGAGGAGCGAGATAACGGTAATTTTTTTGGACACTCCCAAAGAGAAACGTCAACCTCTTCAGGTTATTCTTCATCGACTTTTTAAGACACAGATCCGTCCTTGTTGCTGTTGTTCAGAACCATCTGATGGACTCACACCTTCTGGATTTATTTACCTTTTGGACTGATAGAAGTTGCGCGCTCCGGCTTCCATGACATAACGGGACTTGAGATGATGGGTGCTCACTGCTGACCCGGAGGGCTTCCCAACTTTATTCAAAACCTGTGAGTGTTTTTGCTGTGGCTGTTGGTTCTTTGCCCTCTTCACACCATCCTAGAGCTTCATGGTGGAGATATGGGATGACTGGAGGCGGGTGGCGCAGCTAAGGTGAAAACCAGGCGAAGGACGATGTTTGCGCCCGGCGCGGGCATCTCTCTGCCGCCGGGGCGTCTGGTGCTGATGCTGCTCCTGCTGTCCGCCTCCCACACGAGACCGTCCCAGGCCTGCCCCGGCCTCCTGGCCTCCACCAGCGGCTGCAGCTGCTCGGAGGAGCGCGCCAAGGCGCACGGCGTTCAGTTGGTGGGGAAAAGGATCAGCTGCAGCAAAGAAGAGCTGCTTGAACTTCCGGATGCCAGCTTGTTCCCCAACAGAACCGTCACTCTGTGAGTTGGAACTTTAATATCTGGTGTAACTCATGTGCTCCATTGTGTTTCATGAAGACAACCAGGCACTAAACTGTTCATTGGGGAGATTTTCTTTGAGCTAAATACAAGACCTCGTGCTGTCAGGTGTCCCTGCAGCAGTAAAAGCACACAGTTATAGGTCAGAAGTTTACATCATGAACTTCTACATCCTCAGTGAAGAGATGAGCATGTCATCCCTAAATCTTTAAAAAGCTGTGATCATCTTCAGAACCTGCCTCTTTGACACAACTGTCACTTTAAGGTGGCCTCAGCCAGATGCTCTGTGTTTCAGCTCGCTCCCAACCCCTGCTGCACGCTGCACACGGTCCAGCTGACTCGGCCTTGTAAACTTAGAATAAACAGAAACACATTCGGAGTGTTTTATATCAGGCTCGTCTCCACACTGCTGGGCTGCTTCCACTTCAGATACAGCAACACCCTGTCTCCTTCTGGTGAGGAAGTTTGTATGAAATCATCGCAGAGCAGCAGCAGCTGAGCCCATAGTTTGATATTTTTTAATTATTAAGGAACTCATTTGTGTGGTCTGTCTGGAGCGGTCTTGAAAGAGGCTCGTTGTGGGCCAAAACACACAGTCACCCCTGACAGATAGCTGATCTATTAGTGACACATTTTTTAGGGTGGTGTTTGATTCCGTTGCAATGCAGCACTTTCTCCCCAGCTGCAGAGTTTCTTAAGCTGTTGCTCATTCCCACAGTACGTTTGACGCAGTGGGAAAACTGTGAGATGCACATGGGCACAGTGGAAAAAAAAGCACTGGTGTGCAACCAGCGCATGAGGTAAAGTCAGGGGATGTGTGCCCCAGGGGAGCGTCGGCCTGCCAGCAGTGCATTTATAGGCCCTTATGTTTGTTGCCTAATAAACATCTGGGGAACACATTGCTGGAAGCTGGAGGACGAAGTGGCTTTTGGTGGCAGCGGTTGAGGTGATTGAAGATAATCTTCCTTTCCCGCTCCTTCTCATTTTGGTCGAGTTGTTTTTGTGCAGCTGTTTGACCTTCTGTGACACATTTATGAGGCGCAAACAATTCTGCTGGCCAATTTATTTTTATTTTTTTTAATTTTTGTTACCTTCCCTGAGAACTTTATCTGGAAAGTTTGTTTTCCCTGAGCATTGGAAGGGCTCTCAGTACGCCCGTGCTCCCAACGTTGCTCGTGACATTAGCTCCAGATGTGGAATGTGGGACGTTGTGTTGATATTCTTGTTATTCCTAACATTCTTCAGTCTGCTCCAAGACGGCGGATGGGATCCCATTCCAGGTGCGGCAGAGGGAGCTCTCTTTTGGTGCCCGCTTCGAGGAGCCGGCCTCTCTCCTGGGGCTGCGTGGAGAAATCATCTCCTTCATGCTGAGCAGGCAAAGGCTGCACCGGGTCCGGGGCTTCCGGGGCCAACTGCTTCATGTAATGCACAACAGCTGGCCCCTGTGAACATTCCAGCTGAGGCCCCTCAGCATCATGGGAAATCCCAATGGGGAATTGTTTATTAAAGCCATTAGTTGGTCACTTGTTATTCAAGCAGCTCCAGTATTATCACCTCCTGCTCATCAGGGCCCGAGCTTCACTTTGACCCCACTCTTGTTGTTTTCCATCGTTTCTAATGCATGGTTCTTTTTTTCCAGCTTTCACCAGGGAGTTTCAGTCGTCCACCCCACTTTCCCTCTTTTCCCTTAACTCCAGCTCCCCATTTTTCACCCCACCCCCCACCCCCCTCTATCATGAGTTCATCCACACGCAGTAACTCTCAACCTAAATATTTAGTCGACTTGGTAGGAAACTGCCATGTCCAAACCTCTTCCAGATGTGAGCCTGCACAGGCCGTGTTTAGGCCTAATTATGCACGGCTGCAAAGGAGCTGGATCGCCCGGTCGGGCAGAGGAGCGGCAGGGTAGAGGAAGGCAGAGCGATAGCAGCGTGAGACTGAAACGCTTTGGTGGCGAGAAGAGGAGTAAATGACAGAGGTTGATAGGAGGTCAAAGTGAAGGAGAAAGTTCAGCAGGAGGAGGAGAAGAAGCGGGAAAAGGAAACCAAACTGGGGGGAAAAGAAGGAGGTGTGTGTGTGAGGGGGTGTCGTTTCAGCTTGGCAGGCCGTTCAGAGGGATGTGCCCCTGGAGACTGAAAACTCCCCAGCCTCTGACTAACAGATCTTCAGCACTGGGGTGAAAGGCGAGAGGAGGAGGCAAGGCGCCTCTCACAACAACATCGTTTCACTTCCAAAGTGACACCACATCTTTTAGAGTATTAATATTATTAGTCTTTTGAGGATTGTAAGCAGGAACTTTTTTTTATTTTTTATTTTTCATGGAAAAGAAAAGAGCTGCGCCTGGAGATCGCTGCGTTTCTCACACGTCGAGGCTCAGGAAACCCAGAGGGCCGTCTGCCTCTCAGTGCTGCGTGGTAGCAGCTGCGTCTGTTTTAATGTTTTAATGGAGAACAGACGAATAAAGAGAATGTACAGTGGCACTTTCTGTGTGAATGTGCTCGTGTTTCGTAGCTTGTGGTTTTTACCAAAGTCAAAACCGTACTCCTCCCCTCGGCATATTCTGTTGTCACCATCGCCAGTGACGGATGGCTACGGCTTGTTGTGTGCCAACCTTAATGAGTGGGCACAGATGCTTCGGAGGGGTGGCAGCATGCCCTGTGGCCTTGATGCCCCCCTTCACTCAAGACAGCTGCGGATGATTCCTGAACGGTTGTCGTGTCGATGGACCGCAGTTTGGGACAAAAATATCCCAACAGGACAGCAGTATATGTATCATTAATAATCATGGTTGTAAAGGAGGAGTGTCACACTGCTGGGGAGGGGGGACTTTAATACACTGGCAGCAGACTCAAAACTGTACAGCAGACAGGAAGCTGCATTAGAAAGTGATTAGACAGTTTTGTTATTAAAAGATAATCTGGTGAACTTGTGCCCTATCTTGATGATCTATTATTATTTTATTTATTATTAGTCATGGAAGACAAGCTAACTCTGGTTCAAAACTGTTATTTTTCTTTCCTTTTTTATTGAAATAGACTCAAACTTTAGAGAGCTTGTGCTTTTTACTGTATATTTTATTTAGGAGTAAAAATTATTGGCGTCTTTTCCCATTATTTTCTGAACTTTCACATTTTTTAAAACCCATATGATCTGTTAGAAGTGTGACATTTTATTTTTATGGATACGCTGGAATGACCCTATTTATTTTTTACTAAATATAAAATTAATTATCTCAGAGTGTCCTTTTTTTTTTTTACCTTTCTGGACCTAAATTATAATAATGCTTCTAAAGAACGCCCACCTGTTTTAGGCCCCGCCCACAGAAGAGTTCAGTCTCTGATTGGTCAGCTGGCTGGTAGGTTCTTCTGGTGCAACAGTTTGCTGACTGTCATATTTGACTTTTCAATTTTTATTTTTGGGTTCAATATTGTTTGGATACTGACTTAAAAATATATTTTTTAAATGATTATAAAGTTACTTCGGCTTTTCAAATCAAATACACACAAAGCAGCAAGCTCGCACACACATCTTGATACATAAGGCCAATTCAGAAATACCATTTGAGTTTTCTAGCTAAGTAGTGATTTTTTGTTTCTCATTGCTAAAAGGCGATAATGTTGACACTTTCTGTGTGTGTGTGTGTGTGTTTGTGTGTGTGTACATTTGTCTCTCTGTAGAGTAAATATCACAAACCACTGAACAGATTATAATGTACATAACTCACAGACTAGTAATCGTTGGTTGTACATTGTTTGTAACTAAAAACAACTCAAATAAAGATGGGAGTGGAAGTTAACCGACCCTTGAAATGGCAAACATGACAGTCAACAAATATTGAGCTAAAATAGAGTTTGTTTGTGTCTGAGAGTCACTCAAACACAACTTCAGTGCGCTCACTGATAACATGTTACTTCTGTCTAAAACTTTGCCTCTAATGAATGAACTGTGTTTGTCTGCAAAAAATCTCGTGAATCAGAGGATAATGATTGGTGAACGTTTCAGAATCGTTGAATGTATATCTACAACTATTGAGCCTTTAATTCAAAAATTGCTGCCTTAATCTTGACTAATAGAAACAGGGCTGTAATTCAGCCAGTTTCACAGATTTTGGGCTGTAATTAAGATGTTCCCTGAGTGCTAACACATTTTGGAATATTGCGTGAGATCGTGCATGTCACTGACACGGTTTGACCAAAACGTTATCTCTTCTCATCATGAGGTGATTTTACTCATAACTCTGGCATGAAAGTTAGAGCATGAAATGCAGTTTTTCAAGAAAACCAGGACTTTAACTTATTTATTTTTTAACTGTGGGAGGAAAACTAGAGTTTCCAAAGTAAACTCAAAGAAGCACAAGGAGAACATGTCAAGGTGAAAGTTCTTTATTGTCATTCTCATCACATGCTGTTAAAAATTAAAGAAGTCCCTGGATAGGGGGAATGTGATGGGTGCTGTATTTATCAACCTTAAAAAGGCATTCGATATGGTTAACCATAGTTTGCTTTTATCTAAAATGTCAGAATTAAATTTTTCAGTTGATGCAATAAGATGGTTTACATCTTATCTTCAGTCTAGAGCTCAGTGTGTTAAATTAGATCAAGACATATCGGGATTTTTGAACTTCAAAAAGGGCATCCCACAAGGCTCGATACTTGGCCCTTTGCTGTTTAGTCTCTTCATAAACGACTTGCCTCGGCACTGCTCAGGTGTCAACTGTCAACTTTATGTGGATGATGCAGTTCTCTATGCATCCGCCAAGTCACCAGAACAAGCTGCAGAAGTGGCTCGTGCAAAATCAGCTAGTTCTGAACATTTCAAAAACAGTCTCCATGTGTTTCTCAATAAGAACACTTGATTTAAAAGAAAAATTTAATGTTCATTTACAAAATGAAAAAAATCAGTTTGTTGCTGAATTTAAGAACCTTGGCTTGGTGCCAGATCCTCAACTTAAATTTGATAAACATTTAAGGACAAATTCAAAA